ACTGAGGTTATATTTAGCTACAAAACCAAGATTTTAAAGTTTAAAAACCGTTCTAGTTTTGCTACATACAATATCTTTTTTTTTAATTTATTTTAGTGAAAGCTTTCAAAATTAAAAAAAAAATGATTTTAACAAAGGTGTAATTTTTAACAACATTGCGTATACGTAACAACATTGCGTATACGTAACAAATTAAATATGCTAAAAAAGACAATAATCAGTCAACATATGTACAACCTTTTCTATAATATTTTTAAACAAAAACGAAACCCACTTAAAACACAAAAAAAAAATACAAATTAAGTACATTTCTTTCACTGCATCTGAGGAGAGCCAGAGTCAACACAGTCTTGACAAACTGTTGAAGAGCAAGAGTGAAATCAGAGGGGACATTTTTGTTACGTGAGAGTAGCCATCGTAATTTCATTTTGTGTTATAAGAAAGTTGTTCATTGCATTTCCCCTTTTTTCTTTCCAAGCCCTCACCCTTGAAAAAGTTGGTTAAGCGCAATTACATTAGTGAAAAGAAAGGATTCGGTGGCCTAGATTATTATTAGAACTAAGTGGCAACCAAGTTACAGAATATAACTTTTAAGTTGATCGTAAATGGCTCAATTAGTTCTGGACTTGATCGGCTCATTGATACAATAAAATATATAAAATGTAGGCAAATCAAAATGTAAGATAATAGGACATAAGATAAAACCAATTTACACAGAAAAACCTGAAAAACGCATTATTGTATTATAAACACTTTCCCCTTGAACATTGTTCACGGAATTTTATTTGCTATTAGACCATCTGAATTAAGCAACTTTTTCCCAGTGGGTCAATGACACTTTTTAGTTTCGATATCAACCGATCCGATGTTGTCCATAACGAATAGCCAATAAAACTTTCGCCTGACACACTAACCCATATCGGGGGGAAAAGTCTAGGGAACTGGAATATTTATAAGCGTGTGGCAGCGGGGGAAATGTCAAGTGCTTTGGCCCTGACCTGACCTCCGGTAGAACGTTGGGAGCCCACGCTATAGCGCCAATGAGCCAGCCACCCAACTATTCTGAACTCAGAGCACGGAAGAGCAACAATGTATAGTCGAATGCGACCGAAAATGCTTGCCACCGTTTTTACCTGAGGAATGGGGAAGTTTCAACTCCTCTTTGAACCTCCGGCAAAGCCCCCCTATCTGCTCTCTCTTTCTGCCTTTCTCTGCCATCTCTTTCGCCCTCGAAGGGAGAGGGAGAGGGAGAGTGAGAGGGGGTAAAGAAAATTTCATTGCCACCACATTCAATGTCAGGTTCATGCGCATCGCCTCCAAATGCAAGGCAAAGGTTATGCAGCAGCAGTAGTTGCAGTCCGATGAAGGGCACTTTGCAGGGGGTGAAGGTTAAATTGGGGGTGGTAATGGGTAATGGGCACTGGGTGGTGCCACGCTCGGCGGTTGTAAGGTCACTGTCAAGTGGCAATGGCATGTCCAAGGATGGCCATTCAAGTGGCGGCGTGTGCGGATAGTTTCGGTATTTGTTTGGGTTAATAAGGTCCTGGCTGAACGGAAATCGGTTGATTGCGAAAGTGGCTTGCATATCGATTCTAAACTGTATCTTTGTGTAATGGGTCCTGTCCAACAAAACCTAATTGAACTTAATTTCAATGGTAAACAAAGTGCAATCACAATTTAATAGCCATTACAAATACGTATGTATAAAAATGCCTGTGTTTTAAATAAAATATATGTTTTTTGTGTTGGGTACTATAAGCTTATTTTCTGTTATAAAAGGCGATCAAAAATGCTAGTCAGGAGGTTATGGTATAAAAACAAAGGAGGGAAAAATTTGTATAAACAGTTTTTTTAAGGAAACATGAACAAGTTAGTAGCTTGATTTTTGGGAATGTCCCTTTGCTACAATTGTACAGGATAGGTTATTTCAAAAAAATAGTATTGGCCCATAAAGTTGCTTTCTAAACATGTATAGTATATTCTTTACGAATATGAATCAACATATTTCATAGTTAACGAATATATGTTACTTTCCTTAGAAAAGGTGGTTTCTTTCCAATTACAAACAAAGACTTTTGAATAATTGATTTAAACATGTGGTTAAACCAAGTTTGGACTTGCAACTTGGAGCCGCATGAGCGTGTGCCTCGATCCGAGGAATCCATGCCCAAATGCTGGCCAGGGAACCAGAACAACGACAACAAATCGTGTTATTGACCTAACTCAAGGGCACTGCACTTGAGCTATATCTCGCAGAACGGAGCGGGATGGCAATAGCATATAGTAGGGAATGCAGATTGCTGATTGGAGTACAGCCGCGATTCGAATCGCAGCGAGTTGGTTGGAGTTTCGTGATAAAGGGGAGATCAGGGGGGCCGAACAGAATCTGCGAACGTTTTTTGGCGCGCAAATAAACAAAAAGCAGATCACACGAGGAACAATTTATAAATAGCGCCCCCATGTTCCAAGCGTGACGCTCTATAGCCCTCTTCATCCCATTCCTTAGGGCCATCCCTCTCTTTTGATATTGTATTTTTAATTTTTTGTGAGGTGAGCTTGTTTTTTTTTTTGTTGTTCGGGTGATTCCGTGTCGTTGACAATATCAAGGCCAATCCATTTACCAAACCTCTGCACAGCACAAAAAATATTAAGTTAGGTTCTATTTACTCGGCCTATTTAATAGCTTTTAATATTTAATTTGTGTAACTGCATTTTTGTAAAAAAAAAAACATTGGTCCTATCCTTCTGTAGGCTGAATTCATCAAAACTACGATTTTTAGAGTAGCTAAATATTTAATTTTTTATAAGGAACGCAGGGAGAGGTGGTTTCAAAAATTTGCCTCGCCCACTCAACCGAATCTTTCTGTCAACTACACAATTCTAAAAATTTGTAATAGTTTAATGATTAGTTTTTAACTAAAGATTAAATCAATAAGTAGTTCTCTTTGCGATTTTAATAAGATTCTCTGCGCACTTCCTCTTCTCCCTTTTTCTGTCTCATGTGCCGTCTCTTTCTGCACTACTATCTTCTTCTCGTTCTCTCCGTGTTGTGTTCTTCGCGATCCACAAGAAGCCAACGACTTTTGCTTGTAGGTCAATGGCACTTGCCGGAGAAACTGGGAAGGAGTTTTTTTCTGCGCCCCCTCTGCAACCAGTTTTATTGTTCGTCGATCCTGCTAATAACCAGACATTCTCCCCCTCTGCTCCTCTCCCTCTTTCCCACTGCTGCCGTCCTCCTCTGTCTGCCCTACATTGGAGCATTGGTCTGCTGGATTTGGTGCCTCCCCTCCATCTCGATTTTGATTTTTTCCAGGCTCTTTTCTTCGACGCTCCGAGTGTTCTGCATGCTTTTGTTGTTACCAAAGTTCAAGGTCTTCGATTTATCGTCCCTGCCTTTGTTCTCGTTGCTAAGATACTTGTTCTTAAATCAGTGGTGATTCGAAAACGGGAGCTTAGCAGAGCCAATATATTAAAACTATCTAGAACTAAACTAGAACTTTTAGAGTTTTTTATAGTGATGAAATGTATAAATATTGTCAGTTTGAAATCAACAATAATTTAAGAGTATATTATTAGTAAAGGTCTGAGTTCAGAATTCAACTGCGAAAAATATCCAGCACAATTATTAAAGAAAAACATAATAACTCTTCTTATTATTATTCTTTTATTTTGAAAATGGTAAAAGAGAAAATGTTTATTGAACAAATAAAAGAAATTATTTTTCCAGTGGTATTTGTTAGTTTCTTTTGCAAGAACTCTCTGTCTTTAGGTCCAAATTGCTAACTAAAATTTGGTCACGATTCTTTTGTTTGCCTTCGCTATAGGGATTTTGTTTCAAATTGTTTTTGTTTATTCCTGAAGAGTCCATCAAGTTTCTGTCTCTTTCGTTCCCGTCTTTTGACTTATTCCCTTCCTGTGGTTCTGCTTTGCTGGCCAGCTTAATTATTTAACTTGATTCGAGTTTTTTATGTATGCAATTCTCTGCTGTCTGCGACTTTTTCCCTTTTTTCACTTTTGATTTTGTTGTTCGTTCTTCATTTTTCACTTTTGCGGTGCATTTAAATTGACTTTAAGCTTCACTCATTTCATGTAATTAAGACGTTTCCGGTTCATGACCTAAATGCGCTATTTAGGGCAACTGGGTGTTGCAGGGGCTAAATAGGGGTTTTCAAGAATCGCATTATTATATGAGGAAGCGGTTTTTACTAAAATATATAGGAAAAAACTTTTAAAGTTTTTCTAAAATTTGATTTAGTTTAAATATCTTAAGTATTAGTGCATTGATTTTAATGAATGCAAAAATATATAAAAATAGCTCAACCCTTATTTGACAGATTTTTAAAATTTGTGTTATTCTAAAATAGCTTAAGTATTGGTATAACTGATTATATAGAATGAATTTACACAATAATTTAAATGAGAACTGTAAACAAAAAAACTTAACTTTTGACATTAGCTTGAAAGAGTGTTTTGAAGTCCAAGAATTTACGTGCTTATAGGGCTTTCCATAATATCGTCATCTAATCCAAAGAAATATGATTCTGGTTGCTTCCGGTAATAAGATTTTCGAGGCTTTCCATAAACTGACTCATAATTGTAGGCCATTGTAACAAGGGCAACACGTGCCAAAATAAAAAACACATGTATATCACTTTTAAACAAGAAATACAGTCTAGTTATCTGAGGTAGAAAACCCCGTTACCGGACCTAAGAAACTCAAAACTTAAAAAAATATATAAAAGAATATCTGAGTACCAAATCGAGGGTGCCAGAAATAGGTAGTTACTAAATGAAATGTGACAACTTAATAAGCTGTTTCAAAGAGAAATGATATTTCTCTACGTTATATAATAATTTTGAAATTGTTGCCCCTCAAAATCTAGTATACACACCCATATATTGTTTAAATTCTATATACACTTTTCATAAAAATCAAAACCTATAACTTGCATAACTATTCCCCGTGATTTTACTTTCAAAATTCGCTAGATCCCAGTTCACTAAGTGTATTTTTTCAGAAAGTTATCTTTTTTTTTTACCTCTCCTTTCCACATTTCCAAAATTTAATTTAAGTATTTTTATAAATTTCCATGTGTCAATTTTGTTTAAAAGTACCAGCATCAAGCTGGGCACAGTTATATTCTATATGGTGTATATTAGTTGGTACCTTGAGCATTGGTTATTCATTGTACTTTGTAATCGATATAACTAATTATACAGAAATTTTAAATAACTTATTCAGTCATATAAACACTTCAATGAACTCTGAAAAATTGTTGTTGATTGCCTGGTGTGATATGTCTATTTTAGTTATTTTTTCAATAATGTATATTTTGGCTGGTGTCTTCATGCTGCTGGGAATGAGAACAGTAAGTTTGGATACAAATAAAATATAAGTTATCCTTTCTTTTTCACCCAAACACAGAACTCGAAGGCGTTTTTTAAGGTTGGAAAAGTCCTTAGTTACTTTTTTCCAATATATACATGGATGTTTATTCTTACAACGGGTAAGTCTTAGCGTGCTTTTTGTATATTTTTGCAAATTACAATGTGGATCGGTTTTTAATTTATTAAGTTCTCTGTTTTTATGAATATTAAAAGTGACACCCTTTGGTGCTGTACTTGCAAAGAAAAATGTAACAAGTAGAGGACAGCACTTGCGAACCCCATAAAGTAATTCAACTTTGAACACGAACGTCAGACGAGTCAGTCATCTCTGACTGTCCATCAGAGTAAAAATAACTGATAGTCAAGGCAGTCTCGATCATAAATACAATAATTAATTAAATAGTTACAACACTTTCCGGATTTCTATAAAGCAAAAAATTAGATTAGCGACCGTAGCTAATATTAGACTTTTCATTCTTCAACTATTCAATATTTGTTAGTGCTATCGTTTGTATATTTTTTGATTTAACCAGCTTTCTTTCATTTTTTTTTGTGATCCAAACGGTGATTTGTTCCTGCTTCTTAACATAATAAGTGAGTATGTAGTTTAACTTTGAAATCAAAACATATTTTACTCTTGGGAATTTTAATTAAATTAAAGAATCGCAGTTTGCTTTGAAAAGTATTTCTACACAAAAGTCGATCAATCAAAACACCAACATTAAAGTTTTTAAAAAAACTGACTTTAAATACATTTTTCCGATGGGTTGTGAGTCGTGTCTAGATCCGGAATGCTGCTCAATATTCTATTCATTCTGGTGCATAAGCGTTGGTATCCTGTGCTCTATTCATTCGCTGATCAACTTGATCTTGTATGGTGATATTGCGTTTATAGCGGCGACTTACAGTTTCATTTTTTTTCTCGGCGTCACTTATGCTGTAGCTGGATTTTTGCTTTATGTGGGAATACGAATAGTACGTATTTCAATTTTCCGGTCATGTTTTTAACTTGTTGGCGACTTTTCGTTTTATATTTTTACAGAATTCTGAGCTTTGTTTTAAAGTAGGAAAAATGTTGTCATATTTGTTTCCAATCAACTTTTTTTTCATAATATTTCCATTGGGTAAGTAACGTTGACTTCAGAAGCATTACACATAGATATTTACGTGCTTTTTAACAACATAGTATAAAGTTACCAGTACACACTTGAGCTCACTTCATTTTGTTTTTATAAAAAGATTTAATATATTGGTGTTCAACAGAAAAATAAGAGTTACTGATATCTCTAGAAAAAAACAATGTTCGTTTTTATTTGTACTGTATTGGTTGTTAAAAATTATTAAAATCCATTTTCGCTTTTGGGTTAGCTACCGAATAGCAAATTATTATCTTTCTGCTCAAAATATTATATATTTTTTTTCTGTATTTGTTTTAGTTGTTCATTGTATCTGCGTTATAAAATTGTGCCAATATATGAAGGATACCTGGCCTCCAATCTGATTTGAAGTACGTTAAATAAACGGAGCGGTAAGGACAAATTGAGAGTGTATTTCAAATTTACTAATAAGCGAAGAAACTGAGCAAGAAATAAAGCTAAGGGATAACTTCTAAAAAATTAAACCATGTCTTGTTAAATACTTTTACTAAATTACATCCGCCTTTTATTTGCAAAAAATTTTTATTGATTATAAAATAAATGTTATTTTTCAAAAAAAAATTATATATATTTTCTATGCAACTGATGCACATTATTTATGTAAATGTCCGCATTTTATCAAGAGCTCATTGGGAATTATAAACAATATTTAAATTCAAAAAATTAATCGAAAAAACCTGTAAAATACTTTCGCTCGACTAATCTCATTATCGCTATCAAATAAATTTAAAAAAAGTACAGTACAATACAGTACAAGTACAGATCAGATCGAAATGATTCCTTCCAGATGGTGTTTTTAAACTACTTTCGAATTCGAAATAAATTTTATCAAAATCGGATAACTCTATCATATAGCTGCCATAGGCAAGATCGAAAAATATATATATAGTAAAAAAAAAAAAAGAATAACGTCGTTGTTTTGAATCCCATAAAAATCGGATAACTATATATATAGCTGCCATGGGAAAGATCGAAAACTTCATATAGAATTAACAGAAATAAATAATAATAGTATCGTTGTTTTTCATCACTCATAATATTTGGAAATTAGACTTTTCTAACGATTCTGTCATATAAACAAGCGTCGAAAATATGGAAAATGAATAGAAAAATCGTCATATATTCAATGTTATTCAGCGCTTATGTGTTTTGTTCAACAGATTTGATGTCTGCAAGGGTATATAGCTTCCTTTATTGTATATTTTTGTTGTTTGCGTATGCCTGATTATCATGGTTTAACATTAAAATCAAAATTTATTTAACTTTCACGCAAGTTTTTATAAAATTTAAGAATCTCAGTTTGCTTTGAAAAGTATTTCAACACAAAAGTCGATCAAACAAAATACCAACTAAAGTTTCTAATAAAACTAAGTTAAAATTCATTTTCTCGATGGGTTGTGAGTCGTGTAAAGATCCGGAGTGCTGCTCAATATTCTATTCATGCTGGTGCATAGGCGTTGGTTTCCTGTGGTCTATTCAGGCGTTGATCGGCGTGATAGTGAATACTAAAGCTTTGGTAGTGGCGATTTACAGCATTAGTTTTTTTTTCGCCTTCATTTATGCTGTAGCTGGATTTTTGCTTTATTTGGGAATACGCAAAGTACGTATTTCATATTCCAGTCAAGTTTATAAAGTGTTGGTGACGTTTCGTTATGTTTTTACAGAAATCTAAACTTTCTTTTAAAATAGGAAAGGTTTTATCATATATCTTTCCAATCATCGCATTTTACCTAATATTTCCTATGGGTAAGTAAAGTTAATTTTAGTAACATTATACTTGGATATTTAACAAAATATAAAATATAGACTCCGTCAAAAGATAACCGTGTACTAAAGCAAGCTAATTTCTGTGTCCTTTTTAGGTTTTTTTTGAAAAGATTTAATATAGTGGTTTTCAACAGAAAAATAAAAGTTGCCGTAATCTCTAAAATAAACACTGTTCCTTTTTTTGTACTGTATTGGTTGTTAAAAATGAGTGAAATCCATTTTTGCGTATGGGCTAGCTACCGAATAGCAAATTATTTTCTTTCTACTCAAAATAAATATTTAAAAATTTTTATTTTCTGTATTCGTTTTAGTTGTTCATTTTGTCTGCATTTTTAAATTGTGCAAATATATGAGGGATACCTGGCCTCCAAGGTGATTTGCAGTACGTTGTATAAACAGAGCGTTAAGGATAAAATTGAAAGTGTATATTGGATTATTACAAATATATTTTAACTAAATTAGCCCTGTTTTTGTAAAAAATGTAGAAAGATTTTACTTTCAAAATTTTAATATCAAGTAAAGTCTTTCGAAACTTTTTCCATGCTGTTTACTAAATAAAATAAATGTTATTTAAAAAAAAATAATTTTTTAATCACAGTTTCCTAGAAATCTTTCCAATGTACATATTTCTTGTAATAATTGCTGTGGGTAAGTAAAGTTGATATCACTAACATTTCACGTAAATATAAAAGTGTTTTTCAAGAACATAATTTAATAAGTTTTTTTTTATTCGTTTGCACACAACGTTAGTAATTATGAAATGAACTAAAGAAGTCTCTTTCGATACAAATTACGAAATAAAAATAATGATATAAATACCGACATTGATATTCATTTAAGTTACGGCATTTTTAAGAATCGGTAAATATTAAATACACTGTGCATTTTAAACTTATAAATAAAGCAAATCATAAGACTGGAGAACAACCTGTAAAATACTTTTGCTCAACTCATCCCATTATTACGATCAAAAATATTTAAAAAGTACAGTGTCTCCTTTTGTAACCGTTATAATAGGAAAATATAATCTTCTTTGATATTGTGATTACCTGCAATTGAGCATAAGCTTTGGCGTGGTACAGCCAGTTTCCTTTCTTGATTTATTATACAAATTGTATACATTGTTTTTAATTGTCATTATTCTAATCGGAGAATGCAATTTCAGATGGCAATCATGGAAAAATCGTCGGGAGGACATACGTTCGGGTTTGGGATTACCAGCGGGGCCTTGTAATTTGGCCTAGTGCGATACCGTTAAATAGCCTCAGTTTCAATGCGATTGTAACGGTGCCTGGTGCGAGGGCGCGAGAGAGAGGGAGGAAGAGAGACGGCTAGATCACATACGGCGCTCAAGTACGTCACTTATACGCCCCGTTGCAACTGTAATCAAATTCACTTTTCGCTAATTGTTTTTGCCATCTCGCTCGCTCGTTCAGGAAGTGTTCTAGATTTACGTTACGCCTGCACTTGTCGCCCTCCCCTTCTCTCCTCTTTCCTCCCCTCCACTCCCCTCACAACAAACCATACATCTGTTTGTATAATTATTGTGTTCTCGCTTTCAGTGTGTCACATTTTTGTGTTTTTCGCTTGGGTTTTTGTTTCTATTGCCTTTGCTTTTTTCGCTTTGTTGTTCTCTTCCGCTTTTAATGACCTTGTGTTTTTTTCTAACGTTTTTATTGCTATCGCCCACTTGTAATTCGCATTTTTATACAATTGCACATCGTACATACTTATATGTATTGTTTTTATTTTATTTGCATTAACTTTTTGCTTTTTTGGTTTCAATTTGTTGTTGTTAATAGAACAGGTTTTGTTTTGCTTCGTGTGGCATTTTTATCCACCAGATACTTTTGTTAACTGTTTTTTTCGTAGTAGCCCGTTTATCTGTGTGTTCTGTTAAGTAACTGAAAAATTGCCATAACCAGACTGGAATTGGCGTGACTTTGTGGCAATGTATCGTTGATTTAGAATTAAACAAATATAAAAAAAGACTTGGAGTGAGGAATAAATTTGATTTAAACGCAGTTCAGTTAGCATAACAGTTATAATTATTTAACAGCTGATAGTTATGTGCAAACCATTGAAAATTTTCCTTGACCGTCTAATAACATCAAAGGGTAATCATTTTATGTTTTTAACTAATTAACAATATATAAATTATATATAACAAATTATAAATTCTTAAAATTAAACTAACCCTTCAGCACACGAAAAAAGGAATACTTTTTGACTTAAAATATAATGGAATGATTAATTTAAAAAGTTTAAACAAATATTCTGTATGAACAGCATCGCCATGTGAGTTGTTTAAACATTGTCATAAATGTGATGATTTATTTTGATGAAAATCCGACTCTACAATGCTTATACATTTCTGATCAGCAGCATAACCAATTTAGTTGAAATTTTTCAATCCTGTTTGCCTGCTTTAAAGCTGTTTGGGCTTAAACTTTAACGCCATCCGGCTTAAAACAAATAAAAAAGGTCAGCAAAGAAACATTTTTTTTTGACCGCAAGGGTCGAAATTGATAAATATATAAAATTCCAGAACTGTGTTTTGTAACTCCTCAACTACATTTTATAAATTATGAACGATATACTAATCTATTGCCGTAATACATTGATAATCACGTATTACACTGCGCTTATAATTGTAATGAATATTCGGTTATGAAACTGTTACACAGCTTGATTAATTGTTGGAAAATTAGCAACATGTATGTGAATTTATTATTAGTTTGTGTAACTTCAAGGTCGAGAAGCGAAACCTTCCTATGAACTGTTCACTCTCACTAAACTATCATTTTCTCCTTTGCGATCGTTGATCGACTTACCCCATAAATATATTTATTTATTCACTAGCGAATAGTTTAACTAGACCATAACAAATTACGCATTTACATTTTTCTGTTAAATAATATAGGTGCTGGTTCTGAGCAAAAATATTAACCCGGAGCATTTATATTGCTCTTAACAGGTGTTATGTAAGGAAGAGCAATTCTCTCTCCCATTTCTACTCGCAAGGTCGTTGGATGACTAGCAATCCGGAAAAATAAGTCAATTGAAAGTTGGCCAGAACGCAATTAGGCAAATGTGTTTGCTTTACATCCCAGTATATACAAACCATTTCATCTGCTAATCAAATTAGTGCTGCTAGAATTGAATCAGTAAGTTTATTAGATTTAAAAAAAATAATAACAGGTTGTTACTCAATGCGTACAAAGATTATAAAATAGCTAAGAATGTTTGATGTTAAAGTTAAGGGTACATGTAATAAATAAAACGTTACGTCTGTAAGTCGTTGTTGGAAACCAATTTAAATGATTTAGTTGGTTAGTTGTATCTTGGTATCAGTAGGTGTTGCCCCGCAATGTTTAAATACTTTGAGTAACTGTTTGCATAACACTGTATACTAGTTATTAGAATCGCTTACGCAACAGTTGGCTAACTCGAGCGAATGCAAATTATTTCTAACAGCACTGTTTATTATTTTTAAACCTTTTGGGAAGGAATTCTAAAAAATGCATAGTTCATTAGAGCCATGATGTTAGCTAAGGTTATATATTTTGGTTATTACATTCATTTACTTCATTTTACATTGTTTATTTTCACGTACTTTTTAGAACACTTAAATTTTTCCCCTTTGTCAATATTTCTTATATTTTATGGTCAACCATAATCGCTGCCTGTCACTTGCGAGAAATGATAACAATGGAATAAAAATACATTTCCAGGAGAATATAGACGTTTATGAGTGCTCTACATACACAATCACTCAGTGTTGACCCATTGCTGATATTTATGTATATACTCTATATGTGTGTGATGCGTGGGGAATAAGGTCTTCAATTGGACTTGGCATTGACATTGAAAACATCAGTGCCCTACAGTCGAGCATACCAAACTTTGGGGACAACAGGAAAAAACTAAGAAACAGCTGGTTAATCGGGAAGCACTCTGCATTTACTTTCACAACCAACAACTCAGCTTGGAAAAAGGCAAATAAATCTGTCCAGTCTGCCAGTTGGCCTTGACTTTTATTTTCTCAACTCGCAGACTCGTTTTGTATTAGCCAAGCAACAAAGGAGAACGACAAGAACAACAAGCTCTGGTCCAAGAAATCAACTCACTCGAACTCTCTATACAAGCACACACACATATTGTATAACTAAGCGTATCTTACGGCATGTGCAAAAAAAGTAAATAATAAAATCAAAGCGAAAATATAAGAACGCACAGCTCAGTCAAACGAAATCATTAGAATACCAAGAGCTCTCGGCCCGAAAATAATTCTCAACTGTCACTTTCATCCGTATATTTTTTGCCTTCGTAGAACAGGTTCCCTGTTTAGCTGGAAATCCCGATCCAAACATATGATTTAACCTGGCTTGAAACGCTAGTCACATAATCAAAGCTCTGGCCTTGGACTTTTATGTACATGTAGATGTAAACAAAGAATGACTAATTATAGCCCTCGAGGGAAACTAAAAAAAACTAAATTTCAAGTGAATAATTAAAAGAAGCATTCAACATTTTGTTTAATACTAAAAAAACTAATATTAATACAAGGAAGTTTTAAGTCAGCAAATACAACAGCAATCAATCTATTGATTAGGTGATAGTCAATAATTTGCATATATAATCGAAAATGTACAGAACTTATAAATGAGATTCCATTACTTAGGAAAATTAAATAAATTAATTCATTACGATATATTTAAAAGAATTTTAAATTGGTTAAAAATTTTGAATGTTAAAAAATAATTTATGCCGTTGTGTTAAATAAAGATAATAAGCTTTTAGAACATATTAGAACATATTTTAGAGTGGAAAAGGAAGTAATTAAGAAAACCCGGCTATATAAATATCACAAAAAAAAAAAAAACTTTTTAAATATATGGTATAAAAAATTATATAAATATATAATTTATACGAAATTTCATCCATACAAATTTGAATCCCAATTTGGAAACGAAACCAACAAAAGTCAGACATCACGTCAGAGAAAAGGAGAAAAGCAGACAAAGCGGCAAGTTTATTCCAGTTGAAGTTCAAGGTGAGAGAGTGAGAGAAGCAATTGTTGAACACACACAAAAATTAACACAGATATGTACGAGTGTATAAAGAAATATATAGCATATATCTCGCAACCTTGGCAAAGCTAAAAAGTGTGTCGAAAATGTGATGGGGAAGGGGGTGGAGGGGATTGTTTACCAACCCCCGAAAACAATTTCAATTTAAATTGATAATTAAATTTAAATAAAAATTCGGATTCGGGGTGCAGCACTTGATTTGACTGGACGAATGTACGTGTGTTTGATTTTTTGAAAGCAATCCCAAATTATGAGGTAATCCCATGATTTATTCAAATTTTTCAGTATAAAATGTTTGTCCCTTATAAAATTGTTCTTATAAAACACACCCTTTCCCCAAAATATTAAGACTTATAAAGAGCATTGACCAATTCCTATCAACATTTCGCAACGTGGTTCATTAACTATTCTATTTCACATTTATTTCTTCTATTCTGCAAAAACGTAAATTACTCATATTTAGTTTGACCTTTTGCTGGTTGCTTCAGTACCGCTATTCACTTTCATTCCGTTTATAGGTCTGTATTAATAAGTGTCTCATGTGCAACGACTAACTGTACAAACAGCTCTATTACCAATGACTCACACGAGACTACAATTTTATTTCCTACGTGACAGCTTTAGCTGTTTTATTTTTGCACTAAGCTACAGATTTAAAAAAGGTCAATGGGGTGATTAACTCATAAATTAGTTATTCAATTAAAAAAACTTCATTTTCATTTGAATATCACTACAAAACAATTTAAAAACAAACTTAATTCCCTGAAAATGGAAAAATATTACAAATTTTAAAAAGAACATAATTTGTAAAAATGTTAAATAATAATAATAATAATAATATTTTTTCCATTATTAATGGTTTCTGTCGACATGTAGATGTAATTTTGAGGTGAAGATTATTATGGGGTAAATAAATTCATTAAATCCTTATTTAATTTTCCTAAGAACCAATATAAAAGCAGTTGTTATTTTGTTGTCCAGTGTCTGAATGAATATTTTCTGTACTGTAGGAACCTGTCAGTGTCTTTCTGGCCATAAAGCGATCGGCAAGTGCCGTCAGGGTCAACGGGTAAAAAAAAACGGCTGGCTTAGCAGTCCGAGCGGCTTTTCTTGGGGCAGACACTTACCTAGATCTGGAATCGAGCTAGACGGCTCCTCGCCGTTGCTGTTGTTGTTGTTGTTGCCGCTGCTGCTGCTGCTCAAGCCGGAGTTGTTTGAGCTGGAGGCGTGTTTGACCTTGGGCGGAGGCGGTGGCGGTGGGGGCCGCATCACCGAGTTGCCCAGGTTCGCCTGTTGCTGCTGCTGCTGCAGCTGTTGCTGCTGCTGGTGGTGGTGCAAGTTGCCACTGCTGCTGCTGCTGCTGCTGCTTGAAACCACTGGCGTGCGGAAGATGTGCGAAGCGGAGGAGCCCGATGCCCCAACGGAGGAGGCGCCACTGCTCGAACTAACGCTGGCGATCACATGTTGCTGCTGGAAGCTGTTCGCGGCAATCACGTTCACGTGTCGCGTGCTGGTGCTAACCACAAACTTCCGAGCCGCTGCCGTGGGTGGTGCCACCCCGCTGGAGATGTACTGCTGCTGCTGCTGCTGTTGGGGAGGCGGCGGAGGAGGGGGCGGTGGAGGCGGTGGCGGCGGTGGTGCCAGCGGTGGCGTCTGCCTCTGCTGGTACTGCTGATCCATGTAGGCTGAACCACCGGCAGCCGCACCACCGCGCCTGGCAACCACCGGCGAGACTGGCGCCGACCTAGAGTGATGGTGCAGCGGTGGAGGCGACACCGAGTGCCGTCGGGCTGCCACCACCACGGTGGTTTCATCATACAGGCGGCCATCGCGGATGACGCGGACGTGCTGCTGCTGCTGCTGCTGCTGTTGGTGGTGCAGCGGGGGCGGCGACTGCTGCGACTGCCGCTGCGGCGGCTGCTGTTGCAGCTGGTAGTGGTGCAGCGACGAGGGACTGGCGGAGTGGCGGCGCGACAGGTGCTGGCTGGAGGGGAGGGTGCGGGTGATGATGATCTGCGGGGCACCGGCGGCGGTGGTGAGCAGAGCGGTGGCCTCCGGTGGGGCGGATCGCGAGGCGCCACCCACCTGCGGCTGGCCGTAGATGTGCTTGATGCCACCGCTGGTGGAACTGGTGGCCCGCTGCTGCACGTACTCCACGCGGGGCGTCAGGATGACCTTCTGGGTGCCACCGGGCGTGGTCAGACCCGTGGGCTGGCGGGGCGGCACGGTCTGCACCTGCACGTGGGTGTACCGCTGGGGGGTCAAGCTGCTGCTGCTGGGCTCCCGCTCAAGGTCACGCTGCTGCCTCTCGCTCTCCTCCAGGTGCAGCATCTCGAAATCAATGGGCTCGGTCTTGATCAGCTTCGGGGTAGAGCCTCCTGATCCACTGCCCGATCCTCCGGAGGATGCTGCTGCCGCCGCTGCCTGAACAGCCTCCATGCACTTGAGTTTCTTCAACATGATGTATCAAAATAGGGACAATCGCTCAAAAATATCAATCTGTCTTAGATAAAATCTATATATGTTGTATGGAAAGTTGCTTCTGTTGCTTGTGTTTTTGTTTTTGTTGGATTTGATCCTGAATCACTTTTGCCTCACTTCTGCTGCTTTCTATCCTTTACTTTATCCTTTTTCCTTTCTCCGTTCTCCTTTCTCCGTTAGTTTTAAAATCAGTCTCTTAACGCTTTTTGTTGTTGCTGTTTGTGGTATTTGTATTTTGTTCGCTTCTGCTTTTGGATTATCAAAAATTATTTATGTCAGCCTTTCGAGTTGCAAGAAAAAGTGACCTTTTCTTCTGTTTTTTTTTTTGTTTTTGTTTCTTGTTTGTTGTTTGTTGTATGCTATTGTATCCTAGAGAGTTTGTTGTTGTCCTTAGTCCTTACGTGTAGCTTAGCGTTGTTCCTATACCTGCCCACAGTTGCTTGATCATAACCGTACGTCTAAATATATAACTTTATCTGTTGTATTCTGGTTGAGGCTTCTTCCGTTCCGATGAGATGAGTTCGACTGAGTTGCGTTGAGTTAAGTTGGATGATCTCGTGCCGAGAGTTCTGAGGCTGATTCCTAGTCTGAGTTCGTTTTAGTTGCTAATAATACTTGATGGTTTATTGTTTGCTGATTTATGCTTCTCCCGATCCACAGCAGCGTCTGAGTATGTTTGTAGGTATTCCTTTGAAGTAGCTGTGAAAGATAAAGCCATTTAACAACTCGAAATACTTGTATGCTTTATTAATGTGTTAATTATGACATCAAATACTTTGCAAAAGATTAATTTGTTAATAATAATAATAATAATTTCCAATAAATATGTCTGTAAAAGTAAAAAAAGTATTATACTTTTTTTCAAATATTGAAAAATATTCGTTTATTAATTATAAGGTGTTTGAAAAAATGACTTACTTTTTTGCAAATTAAAGTATATCGCTCGATTGATTGTTGAATTGATTGATGTATTGATTGAATAAAATCGTTGAATAATATGTATAAGAATATATTTTTGATGATCGTTATTAGATGTGTATATAAGGTTTAATCTTTATTTGTTACAAATTGATTTTATAGTTATATATTCACTGCTTATACTATGTTATATATTATACAAGTTACACGATTCACAAGGTTTATTATTACGATTTGTTTTAGTAATCTTTATTCCAAAAATATATGAATTTATTTGTATAGATATTTCTTAAGATTTTGCACATGAAACACAACGCTTAAGTTGCTTTTTTTTTTGTTGTTATACACTTTAAAACCTGAGCAGAAATTTTAGTTCACTTTGTTTTTATTTAGATTCGCGGGGTTCCACTTCCGTGAAGTAGTTGCTTATTTGTTTTTTAAACACCTCTAGAAAAATATATGGTTATTTAACAATATTTTCTTTTTGTCAGGGGAGCGTTGTGTGAGCTTTGATAGATTTTCTTGTGCCACTTTTATTCGAATTACACGTTATTAACTGCATTAAGCTCATTTATTGGAAATTTTCACTTTGATTATAATTTGATTTGCTTGGTTTTTGTTTGTCCTGGGCTCTTACACTTGTCTCTGCTGACTTTTGACCTTTGTGCCTGGCGAACGCTGGGCGAATTTGTTTATTAGGAACAACTTATTGAAGCACATTTCGACGGGATGGCGAATTGAATAGTTTCGTCGGAATCACACAGCTGTTTTAGCGATAGCTCCGAGTTTCTTGAATTTTTCTTGCCACATTCTGCTCCTCCTCCTCTTCCCTCTATTTTCCTGTATCGAATGGCCAACAGCTGAGGGTCGAGTTCTAGTGGGTGGCTGGTAGCAACAGCTGGGCGCCCGGGAAGGTCGGTTTTCAGGGCGGAGTAGCAGCAGATATATTTTTGGAGGACTACGGTTCAAGAACAAGGACGAAGACGAGGTCGCGGGACGAGGGGACAGGACCCAAGCAGCTGTTCGGCCTGCACAAGGACAAGGACGAAAACGAGGCGCTACGGATACGATACGAAAGCGATACACGGACACGGTTACGGCCACGGCCACGGCTCAATGTGGCAAATAACACTTGGCGCCCTTGACAATGGGCTCTCGCTTATATAAGGGACCTTGGCGAGCTCCCATAATTATTGCACATTTCCCCGATCAATTATCACTATTAATTTCTCTTCTTTTTTTTCAGCTATTTTCCTTCGGAAATTTTATAATAAATTCATTCACTCTCTGCTCGGTTGGTTGGGTTTTGTTTATTGCTAAATTCGCGGATGGTAGGATATTGTTCGCAACCGTTGCGTTTGCCGTACTTTCTCTGACTGAAACTGCAAAAGCTCAGAAAGCCAGAACAGAACCAGAAAAGAGCGTTGAAAAAACGAGTCGGCTCTCCCGCAAAAAGCTGCACAATGAAAGTGAAAACCATGTGAAAAATGAGAGAATCAGACTGCAAAGTTGGCCAGAACGAAGTGGAGAACAGATCCGGAGAGAGAGAGAAAGAGAGAGAGAGCGACTGCGTACGAGGAAGCTGGGGGCGAAGAATACAACAAGCAAAACATAACTAAACAAAAATAAATGCGAATGAGCCAGCTAAAAGCGAAAGACGCACTCGGATTTTTGTTAGCTTTTTTTTGCGGAGGGGGTTAACAAAATTTGGACTGGGGCAGTTCGAGGGGGAGTTTTTTGGAGTTTTTTGAGCCATAAGGGTTGCTGCTTGCTCGGGGGTTGTTTGCGTTCCATTCGGGGTCTCGCTTAACGGGCCTCAACTTCCGTGTTTCGGGTGCGTATGAGTAATATGCGTGCAGAGAAATTTTCTCGGGGTTGCGTTTTTCAGATGGTTTGAGCTATGTATTCTGGGTTAGGGCAGGGATACGCATTGAGGTAGGTTCGGGGTCTGTCTTTTAGGCTTAATGAATCTGAAGTTCCAAAAAGGAAATTCTGTTTGTTCAACTTTAATAGTTTCAGATAAAAGGTTGGAAAGCTATTAGGTTGAACCAAATCTATGTAATTGAACTAGTAGAAAAAATATATTTACATAATTATAAATAAATTCAAACATTTTTGAAATGTAAATAAAATGGCTTCCCATCTAAGCAATTTTAGTCAGAAATCTGTGTTGAAATTCAGATTATGGAAGCTACTCTTGAAATACCTCGATAACTGATTGGATTAAAATCCCGTTACAAAATGTAATATCACACTAATTTCGCTTACTTTCACCTATCTATTGAAAGCAAACGAGAGCATCATGTGACATTGTCAAAAGAAATGCATATTTTTTCGAAGCGCCATGAGATGATGCATCATGCCCCACAATTCCTCGTCGATTCGATGGCGGCCACAAAGCGGAAGCTTCCGCAAACGTCAGTGGGGGAGACCTCCAAAAATATATACAAATGCTAGGCACCAAATAAACCGCTATTTGCAAAACGAGCAAAGGCGATGACATTCAGTGTAATAGTGTGTGCACTCTCGCGTGTGCATGGCAACATTCAATAGCAGACTAATCAACAAACAAAATGCAACCTCACAAGCTGCAGCCATGTGGAAATCTACAGACGGAAAATATTTACTAAATTACCTAATCTTTCTTTTATAAAATGCATAAGTACATAATATCTCTTAGGTTAACATTAAACAACCATCGCTGTGTAGTTCGTAATTCAAAAACTAACATTGTAAAGTTAACAACGCAAATTTAAAAGAAATCTACCAGTTCTTTTAATTACAGATGAAACTTTGACATACAATAATATGCATACAATTTATTTCTTTAAGTGCAATCGCACACATACTTGTGAAGCAAAAAGAGCACGCACACCTGCAAAGGCGGCAATGTATTGACCTTAACACTGAACGACATCGCACACACTTGCATTGCGAAAAAAGAACTTGAAATAGAATAAATCGAGCGAGAGCGCTGTGCAAATAAAAAGAGAGCGAGAGCGACGAGAGAACTAGACCGCACGTGTGTGCGTTCAAGTTCACCCACACCAAGGCAAGGCTAACAGAGTGTCTACAGTTGAGCAAGCAGAGCACTGCTATTGCGCTGTAGATGCCCTGTTAGATTTCCCCCTTTGGTTTTTTTGGGGTCTCTGCATTTCTGCGGAGTTTCAGGCGGTGGGCGATGGGCACTATTTGCAGGGGGTGTGGCTCGCCTCTAATGAGGGTTGCAACTCCAGTCGGAGTTTCGATCAAGTGGAATGAGTCAGACAGCCATGGAATGGGGCCAAAAAAGGAGCTTATTCAGCCGGAAGGAAGAGTGCTCTCAGCCTTGATTATATTGAAATAGCCAATAGATTTAAGAAGCTAATTGAGTATTTAGTTATGTGCGAATTCCGGGACTGAAAGGTCAACAGATATTTTCTTTTTTAAGGTTTTCTCGTTAATAAGTCTTAAAAGAAAGTGATATAATCCATAATCATTTTTAGGGGCATTTGTTTTTCAAATTTTTCATTTCTTTAATTTCCTTCCTTTATTCTAACCACTTTTAAAATGGTGCCTTTTTTTTCGCAGATCACAGAGTTTAATGAAAAGTATTCAGTTTTACCTTTTAACTTGTACTTTGGTTGTTTATAATTTAAAACATTTTTCGCCTTTTAGATCCAGCTTTGTATTTTTTATATAGGGTCATTTAAAAAGGTTAACATTCAATTTTCTACTTCGGGCTTTAAAAATAAACGGAATACATTTGGTATTTGGTATTTTTTAACAAATTTTAAAATTAATCCATAGAATTTTTTGTTATTAACATTAATTATTTTTGATTGACGACCAATTTTTTGTCTGTCTTATTTTACTCTTATTGTACACACTTTTTATTTAAAAATGGTTTTCACAAATAAAACAGATATTTCTTTTTTTAATTTTGTTTTTTTGTACATTCAATTTTCAAAGATTTAATTTTTTTTTCAGGCCTTGTCAAAATATTTGCAATATGCAAGAAAGGATAATACACTAACTCAACACTGGTCTTTTTGTAGATTTTTTGGCTTTTGGCAGTAGTTTGAGTTATCACTGTTTAAATGCGGTATTTAGATTATTAAGTTACTAATTCCTTTCACTTCTGGAAAAGTATGAAGGGCTATTCGTATAGCTTATTCCCTTAAATTGGCACACAAAGCTCCCACAACACTGCACTTAATCCAATAATTTTCCACGTACAAAGAGTCCACTTAGTCTCACGCATCCCGCAGATACTTTTCGGAGTCCGCATCCGGGGAATTGCACCTTGGCCCGATCGAATTCTTAGAGTTAACAAACGAAAGTTAACACCCGATTGGTAAGACGATTGCGCAGAAGAGGAAGAGCGCGACAGAGGACGGAACGCGACCGTGCGTTCCACATGACGTATTCAAAATGACTGTGTTGCGACTGCGAAACCGAGGCTGAACTGCAAATTTTCGCAAAAGTGAAAAATTCTACTTTCAATATGAAAACGAACTGCGCTGCCGCCGCCGGCGTCGACGCCGACTGCGCTGTCCGGACGGGAGTTCTGCAGCAGCAGCGCACTGTGGGTGGGGGTAAGGTAGGTCGTGGTATGGGAATGCACAGTGGGCAAAGAGAGCCCAGAGAAAGCCAGCCAGCGCGAGAGAGCGAAAGGCAGAACCTGCAGCGAATGCAGAGAACAAAGCGGAGCAGAGAAGTCAATGTACAGAGCAAATTGGGGGTGCAATGGACGGGCACTTGGAACTCTGACGCGGTCGTGGATGTCGCTACAGTGGGTGCTCGCTAGCTAACCACTAAACGAAAATTTCAAATCAAAAGTTTTAAAATGAATTATGCCTAAATGCTTGTAACGGTTAAAATAAGTTCTATCGTTAATATTATAACATTTCTTTCGTGTTTTTTATCAATTTAATTGGTAACATCGATTTATTATTATACAAAGTTATAAAACATTAAGAAAGACAATTAAAATTAATCCAATGCACAAGAGTGATTGATATTTGATTAAACAATATTTGAACATGTATTATGCTTTTATGAGAAATAACTTAAAATCGTTGACAACATTGTAAACTTACAACAATTTTAATAGTTTCCTTTGATCCTGATATGGTTCCGCAATTGTTAACGGCTTAGCAAATAAGTTTTACCTTGAGTAAACTGAATTTTAAAAAGGTAAAAAAGGAATATATTAAAGTGTTAAACACATATACAAGTCCAAAAAGTATTCGCAATAAAGAAATACACTGTACTGGGCTTTCGAAGCTTATCCATTTTCCAGGTCTGTTGTATAGACATCGTGGTTCCCGCCTGGAGTGACTTGCCCCTTGTGAGTGCTTCTTTTGGGGTTGCAAAGTTTTTGGCATTCCGGGAGTTGTCGTAGCACAGAAATTAAAAATAATTGCAAAAAGTCGGCGAGTGGGTGGATTTCTCTGTTTCTCTGGTCCTCAGACTCTGTCTGTCTGGAGTTGCAACCCCTCGGGCAACGAAATGAAAGCAAACTTCAGACTCCCCGACTTGGGGTGTGGAAAACCAGTGGAAGCAAACCAGGAGTACGGGTTGGATAAGACGGAAAAGGAGTACGAGGACAATCGGTTTCCTAGACACTCGCTGGGCTACATTTTGTTTGGTAAGGTCGGTTCGAGGCAGAGATACTTCCTCCACGAGCTTCGGTTTTGGCCAACTCCAGGGGTTGCTCTCCAACGTTCTTGGCTTCCTTTGTCTTTCGCTCTGTGGGGGAAGTTTTAAGTGAACAGCTCCTTGTAACCTTGATTTTCTTATTTGCCTTTGTTGTTGAAAATTTCTAAACTTATTTTCCGCATTATTGAAAATTAAGTTATTTGCAAAATTTCTTACTTCAAAAACCGTACAAACCAAAACAAAATTTTTATATTTTAATATAATCTATTTAACCCAATACAAAAAGGTTCCTTATCCAAAAACTGATTAAATGCTTATAACGTCATCCGCCAAATTATTATTTAGACCTTGCGGAACCCCATCGTAGACCTTTGCTGAGGCACAGAATTTTCTATGCTGGAGGCGAATCTGCCCCATTCAGGACCTCCAAATGCAACGAGGGCATCGCTTCGAGACCCTGGCAGCCACAATATAATAGTGGCCAAATATAATGGTCAATGACAGCGTCGTGAAATTTGCAACTGGCGACACGTGGCAGGGGCAACCAGACACCACCCTCGGTCCTTGGGAGGGGGATTTCCCTGCATAGAAATGAAATGAATCCTGCCAAATCTCTCGCGATTTCTCAGCAAAGAGCGGCGGTGCAAAAGCGCATGTTTGCGAGCTGCAAAGTTGCACTTGCCACACGGCTGCACGAAGGTTAAAAGAGTTTTCAGGGGCACTACGGAACTTACAACTGCGCCACCCGGCGAGGACCAACGACCAAGGACCAAGGGCAAGGACACGCAGGCATGCGCATTTCCGCATCCGAAGTCGGGTCCTTGGCTCTAATTCGGTCTCGCATTCGGATCCTTGGCTGGAAGTGCCTCATTGCCAAGGTCCAGGACGTGGGGCAGCCAGTGTTGTCGGTAGTAGTCTGCCAGTGGAGGCTAAACTATGCACTCTCAATAAAATAAAGGAATCTACATTTGATCGTATTTATTAGTTTAAAAAAGATTGTCCTATTTTTGACAATATTCATTGAGAGCAATTTTTTTATTGGCATCTGTACTTTTCCCATGGTTTTTGTTTCACCTCAATTGTATTGTTTGTCCTTATTTATTCCAAAATAAAAAATAAATAAAAAAAATCTCTTTATTTAATATTAAAAAAAAGTATTTAATTGATAATAGACTAAAATTGATTAATTTTTTAATTAAACATAAGTAAAAAGTATTTTTCATGATGAATCGGGATTATCCTGAATGTCGGACAGTTTTCGTTCGATGATGCAGCCGCCAAACTCCTGCAAATGACATTGAGTGGTTTGCAGACAGAGGAAAAAATATGGGGAGAGCGAGGGGGTAGATTAATTTCAGGGCTGCCCATTGCAGTTGTTTTGCATTTCCTTGACATATTGTTAACCAAATTTGCCCACTGCAGTGCAAGGATATATGGCACACACGTGTCGCCCACCCTCACGAGAGCTCTGAAATTCGACATTGCGTTGATGGTCATTAAAAGGTCAGCAGACACAGGTCCTTGCCCAGAAATGGATTAAGATGCGTTAAGAACAAAACTGAAATTATGATGAATCTAGAGACATTTTAATGTTCATTTGAAAAATATAATGAATATTCAAATCATATCTCTGACATTTTTTTAAGTTTTTATTGCAATAAGAGCGGGCGCAAAATACTAATAGGGAATTTTAAAGTTTCAACCTAAATAAAAAAAATGGTTTAATGGCCGTAACATTCCTTTATGTGTGTATGATAGTATTCTTTAATACTATCTTCAGACATTAAAATGATGGTACATAAATGTACTTATATTTAGAGGCTAACTTTTAAAGATTAAGGAACGGATCAAGTGACCGAGAAACAGAAATATTAAAGATATTTATAAAAACAATTAATGGCTTATTAAATTTCAAATCAATCTAATGGTCCAATTAGCAGGTAAGCCTCAGATAAAAGCAAATCATTCGGTTGAATATTTACACAGCCCGACTCCAGAGTAACGCCAATTCAATATCAGACCCAAGCCAATTATTGGGTCAATGTGCGTGCACTGAACTGATTCGGCTAAAAAGCCAAGTCAAAGCACAAAGTGGCCAAAAGTGTGCTATAAGTCAGTCGCCTCCAGAGAGTTCATTGAGACTAATTTTCAACGGGACAAGCCGCAGAGGAAAAGACAAGGGCTTCCAGAGGGTGTGTATTGTGGTGTGGTTTTATTTATGGCAGAGGAGCATTCATCGGGTCGATGACTCGGTGGGAATATTTGGGTTGCCCCCTCCTTTCGGGCTTGCCAAAAGGAGATCCTCTTGTCCTCCTTGAGGCTTATCCTGTTGGAAACACTTTAGTGAACATTTTAAGGGTAGGTGGTTTTTGGTAAAATTCAAAACATCAAATGTTTTCTTGTTCCTAAAAATAACAATATTCGATGTTTTAAAATAAAAATTCTATTTATATATAAAAATTTTAATAAATAATGTAGGAAACATTTGTCTTTTGTTCTATTGCTATCATGTTATTCACAATATATTATACATTTTCGTTTTGTTCTTCAAATCAACATTTAAAAAAGATTGAAGCATATTGTGGGTTCGAAACACAACATTGGAATTCCCACATGTTCAAATCCTAATCATTGCTGCTTATCCTGCTTTGTTATTTCCACCTACTGCCAGAAAAGGTGAATCATCATTCGCTAAACTCCCTGTTTTAGGCTCCCATCCCCAACCACCTGATGAGTAAGCCCGGGAATTTGTGGCCGATGTTGTTGAACCTCCTCAGGGCGTGTGTCCTTTGCACCTGACACGCACTCTTGGCTCCTGGATGTGTGCGGCATACAAGTTCACTCCGCGGTTCAAAGTTCGTGTTAGATTTAGTTATGCTTGGACATTAGTCATACTTTGTGTGAAAATCGAAATCGGTTGCTTTTTTATTAAGCTTAACCCAAAAATAAAATTAATAATGATTATAGGTAAAATATTGTATTTCTTCTAAGACAATTTGATTAAAATTAGTTTGGCTTAAAAAAAGGAAACCCACTTAACTAAAATCAGGGACTGTAACGGTTATAATTAAAAAAGCAAAAAATTACAAAATAAAAGTCATTTCTTAATTTTTACGAAAAAAATTGATTTTTAATACTTAAAATTAATTTTAATAATAAAAAATTAGTAATAATTATTAAGTATCAATTTTTATATAAAAATTACTCAATAACTTTTATTTTCAATTTTTATTATATAAATTGAAAAATAAAAATTATTTAATAACTTTTATTTTAAAAATTGAAAATAAAGATTGAATCTTTATATCATTTGATAAGCGGATAAACATATATATATATATATACATACTTATTATATACCATTTGAAATGTATTGATGTGTAGATCATATATATACATATAGATTTGATCTGGCTTCTACAGATCAAAAGATATATACATAGGTTCAATCTTTATTTTCAATTTTTAAAATAAAAGTTATCGAATAATTTTTATTTTTCAATTTATATAATATAAATTGAAAATAAAAGTTGTTGCGTAATTTTTTTTATAAAAATTGATATTTAATAATTATTACTAATTTTTAATTATTAAAATTAATTTTAATTATTAAAAATCAATTTTTTTCATAAAAATTGAAAAATAAACATTTATCTTGTTTTTGAATTCGTCATGAAAATGTAACTTATGACAATTTTTTCCAATTTTTTTGGAGACTGTTTTGGGCTTCAATTTTTTTAAACTCATAATAATTATTTGCGGTCCCTGACTAAAATCCATATATTTAAAGCCATACAAATATCAAACTTTTTTTTTTTTTGTATATTTATTTACAATCTATTTAATTAAAGATAATAAGTAAATTTTATGACATAGGTAATGACAGAACATTTTGTTTTAGTTCCCAAATAACATTAAATTGTAAACAAAGGAAGTATAGTTAGAAAGAGTTTAATTCAAGAATAGAATTCCGAGGAATCTGAAAAGTATAACAATGATTCTTTGAAACGTACCCATTTTTCACTTACCAATGGACGAAGCGATTTCCACTTTTCACGACTACATATAAACAGTCGGAAGGGTTCCTCCTGCTTGGCACAATTTTCCCGAAGAACATCAACTATGGATGATACATACGCCTGGTTGGTCTCTATATCCCGCATTTGGGTATAAAAAGCTCGCAGTTTTTTACATGAACGAAGCACTTGAAGAAAGCTGTCACCATCAAACAAGGGTGGATTGCAGTCCTCTTTTATTTCCTCAATTTTTTCCCCGTTTCGCTGAAGAAATCCAAAGACAAGGCCTTCAATATGGCATTTGGAGGATATCATGTGCAGAGTTTTAAGCTTTGGGCAGTTTGGCAGTTCCGTGAATATTTCGCTGTTGTTCATTTCAAGATGTTCTAATTCTGGACAAACCATCGAATGAGGCTTTTCCGAGGGCCAAATTATAATACTATTCACTCTTAAACTGTGAAGATTTGTTAGTGGAGCACAGATTTCAAAAATGTTCAGAGGTAAGTAAATCTTGCCTAAACAATGAAAGTGAATCCTTAGCTCCTCCAGAGCAACCATTTTCTGTATATGGTAAACTGAGAAAAGCAAAATAAAAAAAAATTAACAACAAAATAAAATAAGGGAAATCTCTGCAAGTATTGTATTTTATTTATTTCAGACCTACCTTCTTTTACATGTAAATTTCCTTTACATGTAAATTTTTTTAAATTCGGCATTTTTGCCACCACTTCGAATATTTTGTTTGATTCGAGGTTGTAAAAGAAGATCAGTTCAACAACTTCTAAAAACTTGCTAACGTTCAATAAGAAGGACTGCACGGTGTCGCAATGATTTCCGGAAACATGAATCTTCACCGATTTCAGGTTTGGACAATGCTGTACAATTGACTTGGCCAACAGATCACTGAAGGCGGAATAATCCTTTCCATCGGTGGAAAACTCCTCGATAGTCGATCCACATTCCTGCACAATTACAACCCACAAATCCGGACAACTACAAAGAAAATCGGGCTGAAATCTTTTGTAAGTATTCCGGCTGTGGTAGGCAAATGCTCTCCCCAGCTTTTCATGGGCTTGAGCCAGTTCCAGTTTGTCTATCGGCCTCTCAAGCTCATTAAAAATCAGGTCGAGTACTTCGAACGGCAAATCGAGTAGAGTGCGCTGATATTCCATGGCAGAGCCTTTCCGACGAGAGCGAAATGCGAACTGACAAACGCAATCATAATCTGCTTGCAACTGAGAAACACAGAGTAATATTGGAAGAGAGGAACTCAGAAAACAGTTTCTGCTCTCCAGATTGCAGTTCGGTTAATCAAAAAAAAAATAATAGCAAATGAAATTGAATGTATAAACAATTTTCTTTAGCGCCACTCCTCCTATATATAAACAAATGAATCACTTTTTCACTAACTCTTTTTTTGCTGGATTTGTTATTATTTAAAGAAGGTTCTTATGTTAGAAAAAATTACGAAAGTTGCGCAGTTTCCTGCATTTCACTTTTTAATAAAATAATGTGTCACTGGCAGTAATATTCTCGTAGTTGCCATTAAAACAAAGAAACGTACTTCACATGCTCTCACTGTGGTGCTCGCACACTTTGTTTTGTGCATACAACTAAATTTTCTATCTAGTGAGGCAAGGGCGGACGCAGGGGGGTAGTTCGAGGGGTCCGGACCCCGCCCGAAATCTTAGACTTTTTCAAAACTCCTAGAGCACACGGTCTTTCAACCATATAAACTAAAAAAAATTTTCAATCGGACCCCCCAAAATTTTATTTTGCGTCCACCCCTGGAGTGAGAACACAAATAGTTTGCAGTTGCTACCAGAGTTGCCATCACTTACAGGGAACCCTGTTACCTGATGCAGATCAAACTTAGCGACTTAAACTTATTTAGATTTGACAACCAGCTACTTAATAAGATTGACAAATCTTAAGTTTTGTCACAAACTAAATTTATGAACGCAATCATAATCAACTACATATATTTCAATCCATTCTGTGGCTTTTCAGGAAAAAGTATTACGATATTGCGATAAGACTTCTATGAGTGCATCCCCTTATCTTTGTGGCTACGTGAGTGAGAACTTTCTTGTAATGTGCTCTTTTTTTGTTGATTTTGATTTTGTCGTAGTGACACTTTATTGCTAGAAACTCCGAGAAATTTTCTCAATTCGATTAGGCAGGTTCTCACCTTGTGGACCTGAAAATGACACATTTTAAAGAATTTTTTTTTTAACACGTTGTCATAAAAATCGGACGATATTAACAATGGTCGAAAATATGGACAATTAATAGAAAAATATCAACGACATAAATGATGTCTGCATGGATGTATGTATATACATCTTTCTTGTTGTAAACAAAATTTGAGGTATTACATTTATCGACGAGGCAGTTCCAGGCCTGCCGGGTCAGCTAGTTAAAGATATGTTTATGTTGATATACAATATCATTCTTTTAACACTATATAAATTTATTTATTTAACTCTATATAAAATAAATATATTTTTTAATTTTTATAAACACACATGTTCCAAATCCCTAGAACTTATACAGGTAAAGCGTATGGATAACTTCAGGACTAGAGGTGCGATGTAGCTAAAAAACAAAAATTTAAAAACAAAACTGAATATTATCCAAATAAAGTAGACTTCACTCACAAATCGTCGAAACCATCTTAGCTTATCTCGGGAGTACAATATCAGATCGAAGGGCTCACTTCGTGTCGCGCGACTCTCCTTCAATATTTCCACTAAAGAGGTTACGAATGATTGGTAGATCTTTATACCACTCAAAGGAGTTGAGAATGATTGTAGTTTCCGGCAGGTTCGGATCATTTCGAGAAAATTGTGCGTATCAAAAGGTGCGGGCTCACAGCTCTCATCGATTTCCTCGATATTTTTGCCGTTCTTCAGGATAAAGTTGCATACGTAACCCTTCATTCGGCATTTGGAGAATTTAATATAAAAAGTTTTAAGCTTCGGACAATCGGGTAACACTGTGGATATCTCGCAGTTCTGCATTTTGAGCTCTTTCAAGGTTGGCCACATCATGGCATTAAAGCCTTCTCCTGCAGTTATTACCATGTTGGACACAGTCAAGCAGCGGAGATTCTTCATGGGTCCACAAATCTGCAGGAGATTCACCGATCTACATCTGTATCCCTTTCCATGATAGTCGAGTCTTAGCTCCTCTAGAGCCTCTAACTTGTACAGCTGGTTAACTAAAATACTTATAAGATTTTAATTAAACAATTATTTTAATAGACATATGTATTTTATTAATTATTAGGGATGGCATCGGAAAAAACACATTAAGTCTTTAACAAACAATTATTTATCAATAAAATTTTATGGAAGCCTTAAAGTGACAATATTTAATTTTATTAAAAACTACATAATTAAAAAACATTGAATACAGAAATTCGTTTAGAATGAAAGAAGCGCAAAAGTAGTCAAAACAAAAGTGCAAAAATTTGTGTGATAATCTTTTACCGTTTGATTTGGGTATAATGTAATTATAAACCGCTTATCATGTTTCTCTTTTGTACTTTCTTACTTTTAACCCATTAATGACCACTTATCAAAAGATTAAATGTGTAACTGATGCAATCAAATTCGCAAAAAATAGATTAATTAAAAAAAAGCATTATTGCAAAAATTATTTTTTTGTTTTAAATTTTTTTTAACGCAACGTTGAACATGAAAAAGTATTTGTAACTGCTCACCTCCTCTGTCGATATATCCTTCATACAACAACTTTTTCAGATTTTTGAGCTCTGCTAGTGCATTAAGGATCCTCGGCGACTGACAACTTTCGTTGAGTTTTAGTTCAACTGAAATCAGCGATTCTGCCATGTTGAGCAGAAATACCTGGACACTGTGGCTGGTTCTTAATGTAACACTAATGTTCACCGATTCCAAATTGGGACAGTGCTTTGCAATTGACTTGGCCAACAGATCGCTCCAGGTGTCCGACCCACAAATGAACTCCACAATCGAGGGGCCGCATTCTGCCAGCAGAACGCGATACAACCGAACCGGAAAATGTGTTTTTGGGGAGAACCTCCTATATTCACTGCCACTGTGGTAGGAAAACCCTTTTCCCAGATGTTCATGAGTCTGCGCCAGTCGAAGTTTGTCTCTTAGGTTACGTAAATTCTTGAAAATTAGATCGAGGACTTCGAGAGGTAAATCAGTTATAGTTCGTTGATTTCTCATCGCAGGCGCCCATACCCTCAAGGCGAAAGACAAACAAAGAACTGAGGTAAAGTTAAGAGGGGAGATCAATATTTATCCATTCTCAATTAATTGGGGGGAGAGCAAGAGCTGGAAAGCTTTTAAGACTCTACACTCGCACTCTAAACCTACATGCAAAAGAGGAATGAGGAATAAATTTCCGCTAAATTTGATACATTTTTTATTTCTCCCTACCCCAGAATAAATGAAAATTGTACTTTCTTCAGAAAAAAACAAGTTTTTTTTAATCAATTAAAAAAATATATTTTTGGGCATAATAATTTCTTACATAACGGCGGGAACCCTTACTAACAACACACATACAAATCGATTAAGTTACCATCCGGAACTCGACGAAGCTGGGAAAAAACGTTTACAGATTTTGAGGAATTCGAGGATCAGACTACACGGAACCATTTCCACTTAATCTGGGTACATATAACCAATTCAAAAGGGTTCTCCGGCGTGACTCCATTTTCCTTGAGTATTTCCACTATGGTAGACACATATCCCAGATAGAGTTTAATATATTCCATCGAAGTATAAAATTCCCGCAGTTTTGGGCAGCCCCTGAGCAATTGTAAAAAGCCATCGGCATTGATATGCGGTAGGCACTGCTCTTTCAGCGTTGTAATATTTTTTCCATGTTTTAGAATAAAACTTAGGAGGTAGCCTTCGATATCACATCTTGTGTACATGAAATCTAGATCCTTTAGCTTAGGACAGTCGGGCAATTCTGTTGAGAAAACGGTTTGTCTTAATGACAGCTACTCTAGTCCGGCCCACATTGAAGAATATGGCTCATCAAAAGGCAATATTGTTATATAATTCACACTTAAGTCCCGAAGATTCCGAAGTGAAGTAAAAATACGTAGTATGTTCAATGGGGGCTTGGTCATATAATAACGATGTTCAATCTTCAGCTTCTCCAGATTAACAAGATTCTGTAATTGAATAACTAACAAAATCTTTTTTAAGAAACTGAAAACTTTTCTGATAAAATTTAATTTAATAAAAACCTATAGCTTCGGCGCAAAATTTAGAAAGTTCCAAGGCATTGATAAAGAATATGGAGCTTCGGCGAGCATTACATTAGGCTAAACAACATCGAAGCTATGACGATTATTGTGTTAAGTTTAGTGTTTTCGACGATTGTTCATAAACCAGCATATAGTCGTTCGATTTTTACGAAAATTATTTCAACATTCAAGAGTCGTTAAAATTCCAAAATCATGGTTTTCAGAGAATAACGACGATATCATTTTACTTCCGATAATTCTATATAGATTTTTCGATCCTTTCTATATCCGATTCTTATGAAATTTTTTTTCTAGATTCAAGGGTTATTAACATATTCGATATTATAAAATCATGCTCGTCGGATAAAAAACAACGATGTTATAATTTTTCCAATATTTATATATTTTTTTTTCGATCTTTCCTATGGCAGCTATATGATTTAGTCATCCGATTTTGATAACATTTAATTAAAAATTCAATAGTAGTTAAAAAGCACCACCTGTAATATTTTTTTTCTGTCCTATGGGAGCTATCAGATATAGTCGCCCGATCCGACTTATTTACTGCGTGCAATTACTACAAAACTTTTGGGAAAGTTTCAGCAAGATAGCTTTAAAACTGAGAGACTAGTTTACATAGAACAGACAGATGGACAGACGTATTTTGATTCAGATCGTGATGCTGATCAAGAATACATAGACATAATTTATGGGGTGTGAGGTGTCTCCCTCACCCCCCGGACACCCCCCTGCGTCTGCCCCTGACTTTTATACAATAGAAAAAATAAGATTTTGTTCAAAAGCTATATAATGCAAATATCCTTTATTATAATAACACATATCGTGTTATGTTGCCACTTACCGTTTTCGTTCACATTTCCTTTAAATGAGAAGTCCTTTAAGCGGGTCATTTGACCAACTTTTTGATTAAGTTTAACCGATATCAGCACATACTTCATCTTTTCTAGAAAAGCATTGACGTCGCGTTGGTGGCGATTCATGTAATAAATGCACACCGATTTTAGATTTGGGCAGTGGATTGCAACCGCCTGCGCTATAACGTCGTCAAAATAATACCCCACGTTATCGAAGTGGTGTTCCTCAACTAAATGGCCCCAATTTCTTATATGAACCACCCACAGTTCAGTTTTAAGTCTTTGATTTGGCGTAAGCCTCCTTAAGTCATTGCGGCAGTGGTAGGCAAAGGCTTCCCTCATCTTTTCATTGACCTGGGCCAAATTCAACTTTTCACAAAGATTCTTGCAGTCTTCAAATATCAGATCGAGGACTTCGAAGGGCAAGTCGGTTATATTCCGCTGTGCCATTGCGTAGCTTCTTGCTCGAGAGTGGGAAGCGAACTGAGAGTTTCATTCCGACTGCAGCGAATTTCTGGAGAGTAATTCGCTCTCAGAGGAAAGTTGCAACAACCTCTAAAGTCCATATAAATATGCCCCATATGCTTGTTGGCTGATGAAATTAACTTACTTTTTAATGTAATGATAAACAGCAATGAAGTATGAATTCTTATGAAAAAAATAATGCTGTCATATTATAATAAATTAAACATTATTAATAATAAAATAAAATAATAAAAATTTAAAAAAGTGCTTAAAAATAAGTTGCACATAGCTGAGGTGTTAACATATTTTACATATTTTTGAATGTATTTTATTAAAATGTATTTTAACGACAGGAGCTTACCTTCATGATTGTGAAACTATTTTTTATTAAGTTGGTAATTATGTATAACTTAACTACATTTAAATCTTGGGTTATTTCAATTAATTTTGAATTTTACGGAAAGTAATCTGTGAAGATGGGTTTCAAAGCTATGAAATTGAATTCATAAGGTTCCCTGAAGTCTTACTTATCCATAGTTTTTGTGTTTTTCTATTTAAAAAAAAAAAGAAAATATTTTCTTCTTAGAATTAAATTTAAATGTGTTAAAATTGCTACCAATTTTATTTTCCCCCTCCTCAGATAAAAGAAAATGTCGTATTTTTAGAATGAAGACAAGTTTATTTAAATCAACAAAATAAAATATTTTTTTTATAACGGAGTTGCATAACAATGTATTGTATACATTTATAGAGGCGGGAACCCTTACTCGGAATCCTCAATCAAATCAATTAAGTTAGCATCAGGAACTCGACGAAGCTGGGAAAAGGAATACCGAATTTGAGGGAATACTATATCACTTAGATCGCACTTACCAATCTTCGGAACCATTTCCACTTAATACGCCTAGCTATAATCAATTCGAATGGGTCCTCCGGCGTAACTCCATTTTCCTTGAGTATTTCCACTATGGTAGACACATATCCCAGATAGAGTTTTATATATTCCATTGGAGTATAAAACAGCCGCAATTTCGGGCAGCCCCTGAGCAATTGTAAGAAACCATCGGCATTGAATGGTGGGTCGCACCTCTCATTTAGTGTTATAATATTTTTTCCATTTTTTAAAATAAACCTCAAGAGGTAGCCTTCGATCTGACATCTTGTGTACATGATATCTAGATCCTTTATCTTAGGACAGTCGGGCAATTCTATGGAGAAAGTGCACTGTCTTAATGACAGAGACTCTAGTCCGGCCCACATTGAATAATAAGGTCCATCAAATGGCAATATTTGTATGTTACTCACACTTAAGACCCGAAGATTGCTTAGTGAAGTAAATAAACTTAATATGTTTAAAGAGGGCTTGCTTGTATAATAAAGTTGTTCGATCTTCAGCTTTTCCAGATTAACAAGATTCTGTATTTGAAAAACTAAGAAAAGTTTTTTAAAAAACTGGAAGTTATACAGCGGGTAAACGGCTTGAGAATCATAAAATTTTTCAATATAAATATTGTTACATAAAAACGTTATGGTTACGCTTCTGCGCAATATTTAGAAAATAAAGGCATTGACAAAAAAAAAAATAAATAAAATAACATTTAAATAATTTAATTTAAGTTGTTGTTCAAGAAATTAATAATATATAAATCTAACAATACGATCACAAGTGATATGTTCTGTTACCAGTTGTTTGAAAAACTTACCGTTTTCGTCCACATATCCTTTAAATGAGAAATTCTTTAAGTGGGTAATTTGGCCAACCGCATTGAATATTGTCGTTGGGGAATGTTCTCGTTGGTCCAGTTCAACCGATATCAGGACCTCCCTCATCTTTTCTAGGAATGCATGGACGTCGCCTTGATGAGATCGATAGAAACAAGTGCATACCGATTTTAAATTTGGGCAGTGATTTGCTACCGCCTGGGCTATAAGATCGTTCCAGTAATTCCCTCGGCCATCAAAGATCAGTTCCTCAACTGAGTGTCCACATTTCCTTATAAGAAACACCCACAGTTCAGTTGTTAGTCTTTGATTCGGCGAAAGCCTCCTAAACTCATTGCGGCAGTGGTAGGCAAAGGCTTCCCCCATCTTCTCATTGACCTGGGCCAAATCCACTTTATAACGAAGATACTGGCAGCTTTCAAATATCAGATCGAGGACTTCGAAGGGCAAATCAGTTATATTCCGCTGCTCCATTGCGTAGCTTCTTGCACGAGAGTGGGGAGCGAACTGAGAGTTTCATTCTGAATGGAGCGAATTTGTGGGGAGGAATTCGCTCTAAGAGAAAAGTTGCAGCAACGTCTAAAGTCCATATATACATACATGGGCACATGTATATGGGGGCTGATGTAATTACCTTACTTCTGAATGTACTGATAAACTGCAATATATTTTTATGTATTTATTTATATATTTTTATACATTTTTATGCCAGAAGTTTGCAAAGGAGACACCTCAGACCCCATAAATTATATATATTCTTGATCAGCATCCCGATCAGAAGTGAAATACGTCTGTATGTCTATCCGTCTGTCTGTTTCTATTTAAACTAGTCTCTCAATTGTAAAGCTAAAATTTATATAGCTGCCATAGGAAAGATCCAAAAATATATGTATAAATAATAGGGGAAAAAACAAGACCTCATTGCTTTTAATCCTACGAGCATGTTTTTTAAAATATGGATCTTTTAAATAACCTTTGAACCGAAAAAAAGAATTCATTTAAGTCTGACAACGTTATCATATAGCTGCCATAGGAAAGATCGAAAAATCTTTAAAGAATTAACGGAAAAAAAATTATAATATCGTTTTTTATATATAGACTGTTCGAACGAAACGTGAATTACGAAATAAATTTCATTAAAATCAGACGACCAGTTCATATATCATTCATGTCGAAAATATGGAAAAATTATAGAAAAATCGTCATAGCTTCCATGTTGTTTAGGCTTTATGTATTTTGTTTGACATATTTGTTTACTGTAAGGGTCTTCAAAGGCACCATGTAAAGCAAACTGTAAAACATGGCGGCGGAAACATAATGGTTTGGGGATGCTTCACATGGTGGCATGATGCCCCTCTGCATTTGGAAGAAGGTAGAATGCGAAATGAGGACTACCTAAAAATTTAAAAAATCAATCTTCCCAATTTTATGGAAAAATATGCTTATCCCGAAGACCAAATTGTTTTTCAACAAGAAGGGTGATCCAAAGCAAACACCGAAAATTGTCAAAAAATGGTTTGGCAAACAACATTTTCAGCTGATGGAGTGGCCAGCACAACGTCCCGACCTCAATCCGATCGAAAATCTTTGATCAATTTTGAAAAAACGGCTCGGGCAGTAAGAAGCAGCCCCAACAAACATGGCCAACCTTTGGGAACGTGTAACATTGGAATTGGATCAAATCCCTGAAGATGTTATACAAAATTTGGTAGAGGGAATGCCAAAATGTATTAATTAAATTATGGCTAATAAAGGTTTGTGGACCAAATATTAAAATGGATATGTTTATATAATTTGGTTCAAACGTGCAAAAGTGAGTTTATGCGTGTTTTTTTTTGGTTTTTTCTTTCTAACTTTTAGAATTTACCTTATATGATATTGATTCTTTTCGCATTTGTTACAAATAAAGTAATAAACATAAAAAATTTACTTTGTTAAATTATCTCGTACCGTTCCGTTTTTATGGACGACGAAAGTCAGTTTTGCGAACATGCACTCACTTTTGCTCGCCACTGTATAAGCTTCGGAATACCGAAGCTCGCTTTCTTTCTATTTTAAAATGTATTGCTTTTAAATGTATTTGAATAACAGTAGCTTACCGTCCTAATAGTGAACTTTTTTTGCAGTACACTTACATTTCTAATAAAGTTTGGATTTATGTACAATTTAACTAAATTTTTATCTTGGCTTGTCTTAAATAATTGTAAGCTGACAAGATGGTAATCAAAGTTAAGGTAATTTGATTCTTAAGCCTCCCTTTAGTCTTACTTAGTCATATTAAAAATAAAGCTGCTTAAGTTTAAAATACTATATCATTTCCTTTCAATTCATCCATCATTCAAGAAAAAATAGGCTTTTAGCCCTGTTTTATGCTGGATAGACGTAAACTAAATGCGGCGACATTCACTCCATAATTTATAAGTAATCCAAGTTTTATCAGAAAAGTAAACGAGAAAACATTGATGGCATCAGAAATATCGTTAAAGGATCTTACATCGGAAAAGATCTTACATCCAAGTTTATTTTTTATGTACAAGTTTTTGGGTTTTTTTTTTCCATTTAAAAAATAACAAAATTATAATTTATTTTATTTTCTACACTCCCTAAATATAATTTTTTTTTTATAACAGAGGTGTTTAGCAATATATTATAAACCTTACTCGGATATCACATATAAATCGATTAAGTTAGCATCAGGAACTCGAAGAAGCTGAAAAAAACGCTTAAAGAATTTGAGGGAATTTAACTTCGATTGCACTTACCAATCTACGGAACCATTTCCACTTAATAAGGCTACATATAACCAATTTAAAAGGGTTCTCCGGCGTGACTCCATTGTCCTTGAGTATTTCCACTATGGTAGACACATACCCCAGATAGAGTTTTATATATTCCATCGGAGTATAAAACTCCCGCAGTTTTGGGCAGCCTCTGAGCAATTTTAAAAACCCATCTGCATTGATTGGCGGTTCACACTTCTCTCTCAGAGTTGTAATATTTTTTCCATTTTTTATAATAAACCTCAGATGGTAGCCTTCTATATTAGATGTGTTGAAATAGATGTCCAGAGATCTTAGCTTGGGACAGTCGGGCAATTCCATTGAGAAATCGCACAATCTTAATGACAACGACTCTAGTCCGGCCCACATTGAAGAATAGGGCTCATCAAACGGCAACATTTGTATGCCATACAATCTTAAGTTACGAAGATTCCGTAGTGAATTAAAATCCCGTAGTATGTTTAGAGAGGGCTTATTATATAAAAAATAGTTTGCCTCAATTGTCAGCATTTCCAGACTAACCAGTTTCTGTATTTGAAAAACTAACAAAAACATTTTTAAGAAAAACATTTTAAGAAAAGGCTATTAAGGACGTTTACGTTACGTTTTGTCAATTAAGGAAGATAAAATTATTAAATATCATATCAAGATTTAAGGCAAATAAGATTTTCTTTTCCAATTTTTGACTTCAGGCTATTGATTTCTCTTTGACACAAGGAAGCAAGTTGTGATAATTTTATACAAACTTAATATATTTATTTAATAATAAAGTACATATATATTCACGTCAACTAAGTATTGACAAAAAAACAAGATAAATAAAATTGAATTTAAAAACAAATTGACTTTATCTACATATCAAAAGTTATTTTTTGAATATAAAGTTATTCTTGAATATAATATATACTTTTAGAGTTCGAATTTTATCAGTACTTTAAAAGACTTACGGTTTTCGTCTACATATCCTTTAAATGTGAAATTCTTTAAGTGGGTTAACTGACCAACTGCTTCGAGTATCGTCGCTGAAAAACGTTGTCGTTGCTCCAGTTCAACCGATATCAGCACATCTTTCATCTTTTCTAGAAAAGCATGAACTTGGCCTTGATGAGATCGGTAGAAACAAGTGCTCAGCGATTTTAGATTTGGGCAGTGGTCTAAAACCGCCTGTGCTATAACGTCGTCCCAATAGTTCCCCAGGCCATCGAAGATCAGTTCCTCAACTGAATGGCCACATTTCCTTATAAGAAACACCCACAGTTCAGTTGTTAGTCTTTGATTGGGCGAAAGCCTCCTAAACTCATTGCGGCAGTGGTAGGCAAAGGCATCCCCCATCTTCTCATTGACCTGGGCCAAATCCACCTTGTAACGAAGATACTGGCAGCTTTCAAATATCAGATCGAGGACTTCGAAGGGCAAATCGGTTATATTCCGCTGCTCCATTGCGTAGCTTCTTGCACGAGAGTGGGGAGCGAACTGAGAGTTTCATTCTGAATGGAGCGAATTTGTGGGGAGGAATTCGCTCTCAGAGAAAAGTTGCATCAAAGTCTGAAGTCCCTTTACATGTATAATGTATGGGCACATGTGCATGTTCTGAACAATCAGCAACATAATGTAGTATAAATTTCTTGTCATATTATACTTAATTAAATATTATGTATAATATTATACTAAATCAAAGCTTTTGAGGTGACAGATTTAACATACTAGTGACACGTAGCCGTGATGGTAGTGTTTTGTTTTTATTTTAACAACAGTAGCTTACCGATTGTGAAATTACTTTGCTTTTTTAAATTTGCATAGCTTTACTTTAACCAAAATCGCATATACGTGAAATTTGATTTGTAAAGATTGTTCTAAAACTTATGAAATTGAATTTCGAAGTTTCTCAAAATATAAAATCTTATTCATTTAATAAGTAAAGCTGTTTCATTTTTGATTGAAAGTACATTTTCACCAAAGTTTTTAAAATCCTTTTTTAGTGTGGCAGAATGTTAGGATCCGCAATAATCCATTTCTTGATCTAGGGATGTTAGCATTTCTTAAAAAATAAAAAAAAATCTGCCAGATGTCCGAAAGAGAAAGATAGTGAGATTTGATTTGATTTATTGATTCCATTTACATATTTGTGTTGAATTTGCGTTGTAAGTATTAACTTTTACTGTAAATAGTGTTCTTTTATTTGCCGTTTTACTTTTTCTATCGACTACTTTGTGGACTTAAAGAATAATTCGAATTAAGTGAATGAATTATGCATTGTTTGTGATCTTAAACAATTTAAAAGGAGTTCTTTAATTTGTACTTTGTAGAGTTGTATAGTAAATAAAAAGAGACTATTCTCTGATGTACTTTTAGTCTTTTAATATATGCAGCAAATCGGATGTCAACATTAATGTTCTACTGTCCCCAACTTCTCCACCTGTATTTTGTTCTGGAAGTTACCTGCGTTTTATGGCCGTTTACTTGGCCAAAACACCGAGCAACCTCTGCAACATGTATGGATTACAGTAATTATGCCGCCGTAATGCACCAACCCCTTGTGAAAAGCTCACCCCCTTACTTTCAGCTGTTTTGCTCTCTTAACAAACGACGTCTGGGCCCAGACAGTTAGCCTCCTTCTCTAACCAAAACTTTCGCTAATTTGTAATAATGCAGCAGTAAACAAATAACTGCAGGGGGTTATGGTAACCGACAAGGGTTGAGATATACAAAATAGATGAGGATTGCATTTATACCTTTAAAATTAGTATTTGCACTTTTTCATTTTGACTCGTCATCGCTGTCTTATAGACAAAAAAATAAAATGCCTAGTAGAAATATTTTCTGTAAGTCTATAATATATTTTTTTTGCGTGTAGCGCTGACATTTTTGATGCCAGTTGCGTGATAAGGGGCGACCAGATGAAATGGTGACGCAATGCAGCGCAGAGCAGCATGGAGGTCAATAAACCAAGCTTTATGCGCGGGAACGGCGTTAAGTTTTATGAAAAAGGGGTTGTAAGCTTTTGGTCGCAATACAAAGAAAAAATTGGGGGTGAATTTTATAGCTTGGATTACCAAAAAAAGTAGCTAACAACTAGGTTAACCGATTGGTAAAAGTGCTATTAGACTCAATAAATTCACAGGCAAAAAAAATGAAGTAAGTGCGACGATCCGCAAAAGGAAAATCATTCTCATTCATTAAGAAAATCTTCAGTTTTGAAGACTTCCTTAATTTTGAAAACCACAAGCAATAGGTAACAATAAATTTAATCGAAAAAAAAGAAGAGCAGCAAAAAGGCAACACCAGTTTCGTTTGCATATTTCGGCAAAAGCAAGTCCTGCTGACTGGTTTTCCTGCAGGATGATTTGTCATTTGGGCAATGGGCAAAAAGGGGTTGCTACATGCATATTGCAATTTGCACTGTGACTCACCTCACCTAGTTTCCCCTGTGGAAATGGAGTGGAAGTGCGGGAAGTTGCACAATAGGCTACGAAAAGTATCTCTTGCCACTTGCAACTTTCTCCATTTCTCCGGTATTAGCGCACACTCTCTAACTCCAGAACTTTCCCTGTGACGAAGTCGTTCTGAAGAAAACTCGCATAGCCGGTTCTTGAGCAATCTGTCTAAGCAAATATTGTGCGCCCAGGTGAATGCAACTAGTTTTTCCAGCGCTGGGGAAAATTCTGCAGTGGCAATGACCCAACAGGCTTAGCCTTGAATCTTCTGCAAGTGGAAAACCTGTTCGTGGCATTATAAGAGTAAACTGAATAAGTTTTCCACTTGCTGAGCAAAAAGGATTTGTAAGTATGGTATGTATATACATAACACTTTTCAATCAATAGGTATGCGTCTAAGGGTCAAACTTTGGTTTTCCAGAAACTTCTTTGAAAATAAAGAGGAAAATCATAGAAAACCCAATGTAGAAAAAATGGAAAACGGAAATTCAAACATTTATTAAGCTGTGTTCATTTTAAGGGTATGTTACATAATACTGCAGTTTCTGCGTTCAACTATTACGCCTATTAGTAGGCAACAGTTTTTTGTTGCTGGCATCGTTAGGGGAGTAGATTAAATTTAATTATTTATTTGTGAATTTAATATAGGTCTATCGTTTATTTGTTCAAAAAATGACAAGTTATTTTATTATAAAGAAATAATTTAGGACTGAAAACCAGTTCCAATTAAAATAGAAATTTTACGATTTGCAATTCTATTTGCAAGGATCGTAATTTTTTTAATGTTAGGAATGGAAGAATATGTGCAGGCGTCCCACAAGGAAGCGTGCTTGGGCCTACGCTATATACACTATACACAGCAGATATGCCAACCGCTGGGGCGATAGCAGGATTTGATGAGAACGATGTTCTTATTGCAACGTTTGCCGACGACACTGCCGTGCTGACGAGAAGCCCAATTATCCGCACAGCTTGGCAAGCTCTACAAACCTATGTTCACAGCTTCGATAACTGGGCAAAGAAGTGGAACATAGGAGTCAACAGCAGTAAGTGCGCAAACGTTACTTTCTCAACGAGAACTAAGTCCTGTGGTGAGATCACTATGTCGGGCTCTACACTGGAGCACAAAGAGTCCCACAAATACCTGGGTGTCATACTCGACAGGACGCTCAACTTCCAAGCTCACACCACAATGGTGAAGCATTCTGTCCTGCAGAAGGCCAAGCGAATGGAGTGGCTGCTCTCACCACAGAACAAGCTGACCCTGCACAATAAGATTGCAATATATAAGGCGATTCTTTCCCCTATATGGAAATACGCTTTCCAAATATATGGAACTGCAGCGAAGTCGAATTTGAATAAAATTAGAGTGGCGCAATCCAAAGTTTTGAGGAAAATTTCTGGCGTCCCCTGGTACATCCGAAATAGGGACATCGAGAGGAACCTGAAGGTCCCCAAGGTCGGAGACGTTCTTCAAAACTTGGCAACCGGCTATGTGCAACGCCTTGGAAACCACCCTAATGCATTGGCCAGACAGCTAACAGCGCAACCGACGAGAAGACGCCTAAAAAGATGCCACCCAGCCGATTTACCATCAAGGGTCATATCATAAATGTATATATGTAATTGTAGTTAATGTAGGATAATGTCTAGCCTGTATATATGATCATTTGATCTCTTTGTTTTAGTTTTTTTCTTAGATGTAACTAGATTAAGTTGCCTCAGCGGTAACAGTAAGCTAGTTAATACCAAATAAACATTTTTACCAACAAAAAAAAAAAAAAAAAAAAAAAAAAAGAATGGAAGGGCTTACGAGTTAAACAATAATTTTATTTGACTCTCATTTAATTTGGGGACAGTGGCTTACACTATTATTTAAGTAGTATGGCTGCACTACAGCTGTTTACCCGTATTTTGCTAACGTATTTCATTCTGAGGTTAGGACATTAACCATGCCCTTGCTCAATTCCAAAGCGATTGGGGCCGGAGTAGTTTCGAAATCTCCATTAACGGTGCCGTATCTATTTGGCATCTATATGGATCCCTGTCTCGGCGCGATGACGCCAAATGAGCTGTCGGCACCTAATGGCCCACCCACTGGCAAAAACTCCGGCGCATTGATAAGACAACTTTTACTTTAGTGAGCAGCGAGCAGTAGAATTGTCTAGTTTTCACTTGTCACACAGACGAGGTGGGAGTCGGCTGCCAGTCCTTTATTTTTCTATTTTCTCTATTTTTCTGGGTGCGGCACTTTCTAATACCCAAGCAGTGGCGGCGACAAGCAGTTCAAGTGAGTCAACGGGAAGAAGGAGCGAGAGGGAAGAAGCAAGGAGCGAAGTGCAGCAGGAGCCGAGAACCGACTCCTGGAAACCAAGTGGTGTGGGTAGGTCAACCACCAGACATTGAACCCAGCGCACTCACACACACTTGCGCACGTCGACTTCCGTTCGGAGAGCCAAGAGAGAAACGGCAAGAGTGGGAGCTGCTGGGAGGGGGGATCGTGGAGTGTGGGCCATACACACACAGGCACGCGATAAGCCTGCAGCACGTGAGTGGAACACCACCCAGCGGGAAAGTGAGAAGTAGGTTTTTATTTGACTGGAAAACCTCCTTCTTTTAGCAGGCGTAGGGGTAGGGATAGATGAAAATCTACTTCTTTTAGCAGGCGTAGGGAAGGGATAGACGATTTCGGACCGATTTCGGGGGTGGGTTTTTACCGAAAGAAGGGGGTTTTTGTTCAGCGGGAAGGGAAAAATCCAGTGGATTTTGCCCTGCATTCAGCAGCTTTAGGTCCACTGGATTTTTCCCTTTACCCCTTACTTTTGTGTGTCACCCCCGTGTATTTTGAAAGGAGAGACGGCAGATTTGTAAGGGGTAAAGGGGATTTTCCACATTCCGCTTGTATGAAGAAACCACTGGAAAATAGCATATTTTCCACAGGTTTTTTCCCGCTGGGCATGCACGACAAAGCGAGACAGAGAGAGAATATGCAGGGCAATGTCTGCC